CACCGTACCATAAACCGCACCAAACTTATTATTTGTGGATGCAATGGTGATTCATGAACCACACGTGGATTTGACTCACTCCAATAGCGACAATTTTGTTTATTAACAAATCCATTGACCCAGAAATGGGCCTCATCTGAGAAGATGATTTTACGATGAAAATCGTCATCGGCTTCCATCATTTCCAGTACATAATCGGCAAATTCACGACGGATACAATGGTCGGATGGCTTCAATTCTTGTGCCAAAACAATTTTGTAATGGTGTAGGCCCAAATCCAACCGCAAAATACGCCAGGTGGTCTTTGGAGCACCAGGGACTTCCTTTCTAGGATATACCTGGTTCCCCGGCTATTAGTACCCGAGACGGCAAAGGTCATTGGTCTGAGGTCAAATTTTTTGGTCATTGGATCTCTCCAACTCTTGTGAACGGCGTTGAACTGATCGATTTGAATTCGCATCAACACTGGCCTGAACGGCTGCGATATTCTCTTCACTACGGGCATTTCTTTGTCTCACAGGCACAGCAGTATCGTGGAGGGTGAATTCACTTTCAAATTTTGTTATTATGCGTTTTATAGCGCGCACAGAAGCAGCACTATGACGACCGTTTTTTGCGCGAAGCGCTCTTACTGTAGCGGTAGGAGAACGCAAATTTGCGTAATGATTTTGGACAATTTCCAAGCGTTGGTTTAAAGTGAAACGTGACATGATAAAATGGTGAACCTTACTGAACACAAATGTCAAGAGACGTCAAAGATCCATCATCAAACATGGTCGCTATGAGCTGTCAAAACCAGGTCATCCCTATTGGTAGACCCAGTAAATAAGCTAAAGCGAATAATATAGGCAAGTAAACTTAGTTGTTTGCGTCATGCTATTCGCACAAATTGGACTCTTATTTCTTGTTGAAATAACAATAAACGATTACAATTTTAAATTTTTGTGCGTAGATTTTAAGTGATCTGCATGTTTGCCCAAATCGTCACAGATAACATTTGGATATTTCTATTTAAACATAATTGTTTGAGGAAAGTTATAGGTAACATCTACTACGTTACAACCCTTAGGAGCAAAGTAGTGAACTTAGAAGTAGGTGGAGTTACGGGTAACCACTGGCGTACTGAATAAAATAAGTTACTACGATTTATAAATTCCAGATTTAGAGTAAAATAATTAAATAAATAAATAAATTATATATATATTAATAAATTAATAGTGAGATATCAAAAAAAATACAGGCTATTGTAGCCTGTTAAGGAAAATATTGCAGTGCTGAGAAGAATAAATGTTTATTCAAATTATAATGTTGTTTTCGTTGAAACTTCCTGTTATTGTGTGTGTTAGCAATATCTAACAGACTCTTTAGAATCAAAGGATTAAACTCAGTCTGCGTCGTTTAGGAACGCATATTTATGATTTAGGTCTACAAATTCATATAAATATAATTATGAAACTGTTACTGAACATTATTTTACCTTCATGTAACTTTAAGATTTAATTAAGTCAGCGGCAAAGATAAACCAAAACCCAAAGACATAACTAGTTATCTATAATTGTATTATAATAATCAAATAATGCTAAAATTATAAAGATTTAAGCGATTCATCTCATCGATTCATCTCATCCATAGTTTTTTATGCCATTGACATAATTTCCTAGGCACAAAGTAATAAATTAAGAAACAATTTCAATGTGTAAAAATAAGCTTCGTTTCTTTTTTAGGCTAGAACTAGGTAGTCCTTATACGTGGGGCATGTTAAAAGTCTCTGGATCTGAACACTTTATATAAAATAATGAAAAAACAATAAAAAAGGTTAAATGAGACATTGGCTGTCTATAATATCGTGACAGGCGACAAAACCTGGGTGTACTGCTTTGAACCCGAAAGAAAAAGCCAGTCAGCAGAGTAGGTCTTTTCTTTTGAACATTTGCCGACGAAAGTTAAGAAAAGTCGAAGAATTGGTAAAAAAATGTTTGCTTCCTTTTTCAGCAAATCAGGACATTAGTATTGCTAGAAGATCAAAGGACAGTGACTGCAGCTTGGTACGTCAACACTTGCTTGCTCAGACTCTTAGAAAAAGTCGGCTGAGAGCGTCTTCGAAGCAATGTCCTCCTTCACCACGATAACACATCCTCACATTTTTAAAGGCTTCAAATGTGGAACTGATGACGCATCCGCCTTACAGCCCTCGGACCTCGCACCCTGCGACTTCTCTTTGTTTCAAAAACCTAAAGAGAAACTTAGATGCACACGTTTTCACGAATACTGAATCCATGAAGCCATTGAAGAGGTCCCTAAGGAAGACTGGTCCAACTGCTTTGTAAAGTAGTTTTAGTGAATGCAAAAATGCATTAATTGCGAGGGAATATACTTACAATAAATGTATCGTAAGTCTTATTTATCAGAATCCAGAAACTTTCAGTATACCCTAAGTAAATAAAATATATTTAGCAGTTCTTGGAATAATACACATTATTGATGCGAAAAATTGAGATTGCTGGCGTTGTGAAACGTAAGTATCATTATGACGTGCGTCGTCATAATGTCAGTTCTAAGTTATGTAGTCGGATTTGCTTCTAGCTTTTTTATAGACGTTTTTGTTTGTTTTAGTTTTTTTGTTTTATGTGTCCGGTGGTATTCCCAAGACATGGCAACCTTGAACTGATGATGACCTTGTTCTTTTTGAACCATTTAAGTGTTTTTGAGGTGGAAGTTTCATATGTTTTTAATGTACACTTGCGAAAAATGAAAATCAGTATATCCTCCTTAAAACCAATGACTCTTAACTATTTAATAGCAAGAAAAACCCACCACCACCCAATACCAACCCCGTCTGGCCAGCGTGGTATAGTAGGTCAAAACCTTCTTTCTAAGGAGAGGCCTATGTCCAACAGTGGACTATTAAAGGCTATTGTTTTTTTTTTCTTTTCTTTTTCTTTGGGCCTTATGTTTATAAGTTTATAATGAAGGTGGTTAGCATCCACAAACCCCGAATTCCAGCATATATATTTTTGTGCAATACCCAAAGAACTGGACCACACAGTGATTCTTCTGCACCCTACCATTGCCAGTATAACGCCATTGAACTATTTACATTATCTGGGCACATGCACACACGCAGCTAAACATAATTTGGCGCCGCTATTCACAGTAAATAGAATATTAAAATCATTAAATAACGCTTGTGTAAAAGTAACGCTGCTAGAAGACTGGAAAAAGGTTGTAGAGATAACCAAAAGAATTATCCAGGAAGACTAGGAACTAAAAGTACAGTTCGATTTAGTTTATGATCAAGAACTTATAATTAATCTGCAGGATTGTAACAGCGAAGACTATGACTTTAAAAATTTAAATTTAAAATTGTTATTTGCTATATAAACTGCCTCGGTGGCGCAGTGGTAGCGTATGCGACTGCTGTACTGAGGTCTTGGGTTCGATTCCTGGGTCGGAAAAAGTTTGTGTGATCTGCAAATATTTGTTTCGGAGTTTGGGTGTTTTCTATGTATAACACGTATGTATTTACAAAAAAAAGTATATAAGTAGTATATAAGTATTCTATCAGTCAATCTAGCCCTCATAGTACAAGCTCTGCTTTGTTTGGACAACTAAATGGCATTGTGTCAGATGTCCGAAATATTATCATTATATGTTATTCTATACCTATAAATTAATCAAAATATCATTAATCGATTACAGTCTATGTATACCTTGATCGATTTAGCCAGTTACGTAATATTTTTGTGACATATGTTATCATTTTTTGTGTCATGTTTTATAAAGTATTCGTGAAAGTTGGTCAGAACTTTATTCCGAGTAAGAAATGAGGTGACGGTCTCTAACACCTCAAATGAGATGGGCTGATCTTCATAAATTATAGCCAAGAACCGCATCAAAATTAATCCATTCGTTAAGAGCCACAAAGCCATACACACATACAGATAGGTGCACAGACACGAGTCACACTAATACCAATATTAAAGGCACCCCACGTCCTTCTCTGTATCTTTGGCAACGTGTGTGTTGCAAGAAGCAGCCTTATTTTGACTAGCTAAAAATGCCATTAGTACAAAATTTGTGTCAAGGATACAAATAGTCTTATTAGGACGCAATAGTAAAAATATCTAATCTTTACTATAAAATGTTCTTAGTTACCAATAAATGTACAGTAAGGCACCTCAAACTTGTATTTTTTTTTTATTATCTCACAATAATAATACAACTTTATTTTAGACAAAGTCCTTACGTACAGATTTAGGTGACAACCTTTTTTTTCACGCGGGGAATGCTGCCATACCCTACGTTGGGGATCGCAGGGTGTGTGTGGGACTCCCGGCAAACCGGTCTACCCGTGAAATCCTGAGGCGGCCTACCTCGGTAGTCGGGATGAGCTCCAGAAAGTTATCGGCGGCTTCTGAAGTCTTCCCTGCCTTACCCTACGTCTGAGGCACATCCCAGGGTGATCGTAGTCGCACCCGGGGCAGGAGGCTGTCACGCCTCTTACTGCTTTACACAGTGAGACGCGCAACAGCGCCCCACCCTGGACGACACCCCCGGCCGCACTGGAGTGCCATCTGTCTCTGGTCGTTTGCAGCGCCCACATGGCCCCAAGATGTGGCCGCAGCGACCCTGTCTCTGCTTCTTGGGTCAGCGTCCAATTTTCGCAGCCATAAAGTGCAACACCCCATAATTATGTATGTTTTAATGAGCTATTTTCTTACTTTGGTGCTAATCTTGGCCTTGAACAGATGCTTATTGTGGTTGAAGGCTTGTTTTTCTACTGCCTTTTAAGATGTGACATTTTAAATATTTTTAAATAGCTTAAAGATTCCGTTTCTTTAATTTAATGCATTATAAAGATTTTTTAGCCTATACTAGTATCAATCCAAATTTTATATTATAGTAGTAGCAGAAGTAAAGTAACCTTTTTTTAAACAATCAACATTTGATCAGGTCATGTAAATAAAATACTCTTTGTTTATTATTTTTATTAGTCTGAATCATAGGTACACTCTATACTCGTTGAATATGCACGCATGACATATGACACTCTCGTTTCCGACCTGCGATCAATTTGAATAAAAATTAGTAATCGCATTGTTGTTTTTGCGTACTTTAATACTCTTGCAATTAAAACAGATAATATTTAACATGATAACATGATAAAAACATACCACTTGCGGAACAAGCCAGTGCCTCAAAACAAACGCCACTTCTGCTAGATGAAGGTTATGGTTTCGCCTGTGTGTAATATGCCGCAATTCACACACAGGATCTGGGTTATTATGGTTTGGTTTCAGTATCCATATTCAAGCAATGTTCAACGTTGGGATTGGGTTCAATTTCTGTTGGCACGCCAGGGTCAGTTATAAAAAGATCGTCACAGTTAATTTTTAAGTTAAAAACTTAATCACAAAAAAAAAAAAAAATAGTTTTAAAAAACAAAAAAATAGAAAATAAATTTGAAAAAAAAAACGTTGGGTGCCTGTTGTCAATAGTAAAAAGCACCCTAATATAAAGCGTGTAAAAACAACATCTCCCAGTGAATGACGGATGACAGAACATTTGTTTTCTGTGTTGCTATAAAAATACGATTAAATAGTATTCGTAAAGAAATGTCTTTTATTTTAATTATTGTTTCAAAGGCTCACAAAAAACTAATATTTTGTAATATAATTATGATATGAACAAATAATTCTTTCTTTTTGTTTTTTTTTAATTATAATTCCGTGTGGTAACGGATTAAGAATACGGAATGTCATCACCCCTATTCATCCCGTGGGTGTTGTAAGAGCCGACTAAGGGAGCAAAGTACGCAGGACCACAGCACTGCAAAGAGAAGGAAAACTTGAAACAAACCCTATATCAACCCGTCCGGCCAGCAAAACCTCCTTTCTAAGGAGTTCTAGCAGTGGACTGTTATAGGCTGAACAAATAAATAATTCTTAGTTAAAATCCTGTGTCTTCCTATAAACTAATATTGTTATACTTATATCGATTATTTATATTCATTTATATTAAAAATCACTACTCGCAACATTACATTTAAATCAAGAACTAAAAAATCAAGATATTACAGCTGATCGCCAATGCCCTGCGCTCTCTCTCTGTATTAATACTGTCATCAAGGCCCTCTGTAACGTAATGCCCTAGGTACTGAACTGCCGTACCCGTTTAAGCTTGATACGAATTTGGATATGGATTAAAGATCACTTACTAGGGACTATGAAGACCCTCACTTTTCACCCAATAACACATGAGGCTCTAGGACTCTATGTTTCATATATATATGTAGTTAACAGTTAATTGCGGCTACAATTCGAGGCAGCAGCACCATATAATCCGCGTAACTAAAGTTATACAAAATACATTTGCATATTTGCGTTGTTATAGATTTGCATTTTTTCACATATATTATGTGTATGCAATTAGCATGTGTACCTACACATATTTTATCAAATGACGAGAAAGTTGTTGTGATCATTTAGATTTTACAGTTGAAAGTGAGTATTCAGACCAAACGTTCGTTTCATAAAACGAAATCTAAATTTGTTTATACCATAAATAAAGCATATTAGAGGTTCAAACTTGCACTAAGCTAAGTAAGTAATTACATTACGTAACTTAAGTAAAATTATTAACTAATTTGTGACCAGTTACGTCGACAAAAAATAAATACTTCGGCTAGTCTATTTCTTATCAAAGTTTCCATTAATCCGTGTATTAATTGAGTAATTACAAAAATATTCTGATAGTGGTAGTATCTAAATATTATTAAGAAAATAGAATAGCTTACATTACTTATGTAACACATTTTTGTTTTTTTGTTTTTTATAAATCTTAAGAATGATAGTGGTAACCAAACAGAATATATTTTTTTACACCTTATTTGGGTCATTATCTCACCTAGGGCATGGTGTTCCGTCACGGAGTCTTACTGGCTTGAGTCTCAGGTATACCAAATAGAGATAATCCCTGTAGGCCCGGCGCTGTCTGCCTGTTAAAGTTGCTTGTTGTTTTGTACTTTCTAATATCTGGTGCGTCATTTCTGAGAGGATATTCGTCCTCTTCTATTCTCTATTCGCTGTCTCTTTGCTTTCACCCACTTGCATCTGCAAGACAGTACCCATGCAACATTTCTGGTTCCATTCTTTGCATTTCTCTATCAATAGTCTATTGACCTATCCGCTCATCACAAATATCATTCCAATCTGCCAGACGGTTCTCTAAACCCAATTATAATATTTTTATTGCTTAGGTCCCCGAGACTTTTAGTAGATCTAAAAATGACGGTTACAGTAGGTAACGGGACTCGTTTTAGGTTAGTCTATTTAATGCCTGTCAGGAATGCAACGGCGATTTTCGATTCCCTGACTTTAGACCATTACCGAGGTCATTTAAGTCAGCAGGAACTTTCATGAGTAGATGCCTCCTGTCCCCAAAAAAAGCAAACAGTTTTAAAGTACGTTAAGAGTTTTATTAGAAAATTATTGTAATTAACAGATTACTAATTTTTACAACACACATCACTATGCAAATCGAAGTAGAACAACAGGCGACAACGTAATTTCTGCGGCGACGATCTGTCTATCTGAAGGTTATATCACAAGACGTATCTTCATAGGTGAAAGCTGCAATTTTCGAAGAGGATGTATTTCTATAACCGCTATAACGTAGAGTTATATTAGAATTTTATTGGATTATCCCATGCAAAAAACGTAGTGTAGTTTTGAAATTTACATAAAGTGTTAGCACGATAGCAATAGCAATAATAAAGACGGATTATCTAATAAATTTAAGGTTGTGCTCATCCATATCGTGCGGGGTTGTCGTTGTGTTGTTGACCAAGATATTTTATTTACTGTTCTAAAATATCTGTATCTGATTCTGTCGGTCTGCCTATGATCACCAAACAAACAATTATGAGTAGATCACTAGAGATATAAAAGTATTATTTTGTTCTTTAGGGTTAGGCAATAGTCTATTAAGGTGGCCCGGAAATAAAATGTTTCAAACCTTTAAGAATATAGGTAATAGAAAATTTTAGAAATCTGAATTTCAAATATTATCCTAGATTCACCATGCATATTAGCACGGAAGATCATTTAAAGGAAGCCGGAGTGCAATCAATGGACACGGTACAAACGAATATAGTCTGGAGAAACATTATCTTATTCGCAGTCTTACATGCAGCAGGAGTTTACGGGTTGTATCTCTGCTGCACAAGCGTCATGTGGTTGACAAATTTGTACCGTAAGTTTTCCTCAAAAGTGTAAACAGTTGAAATATTTTTATTTGTTATGTACAAAATAATATAAACCGTGCTTATTTCTATAGGTTTCAAATAAAAATTGGCCTACGCTGAGTGCTGTGGGTCCGATCCCCACATGGGACGACACAAGATGTGTATGTCTGTAAAGTACCCCGCGACACAAGATTTATTCCTAGTGCGGGAGTTGGCTTTTAAAAAATAAAAAAAAATACGCCTCCGAACATTTACTAAATTAAAAGATGAATAGGTATTTTCGTATTGCCAATTAAATAGTAATTTTATGTATCTATTATTGTTAAACTGTTATTATTATTGCATTGTAAATTTTGTATTACATTATGAATTTTTGTATTGTTATATATATTGTGTAAATCACGTTCGCGTGCATTTTCTTTTCAGTATTTGGTCTGATTGGTCTTTCGGGTCTAGGCGTCACGGCTGGAGCACACAGACTTTATGCCCATAAATCTTACAAAGCACGTTTACCACTGCAGATTCTGTTGGTTATATTTAACACTATTGCTATGCAAGTAAGTTCAAAATTGTAAAAATTAATATTTTAACTATGTGTCTTAGAAATAAACAAAATTGTTATGGACTTTTGCTTTTCAAGTTTTCTTCTCAATTTCTTTTCCATTGACTAACTAACTCACCCGTAACTACGAATACCGTATTTTTATCCTGCATTTTTTTTAATAACTTGAAAAACAGTTCATGAGAATGTAAAATAATTATTTTAATTACGACTTTTGATGTTATTAATTAGTTAAAAGAAGATTTTCTTTATACATGTGAAATATAAATCGGTCTACATATAAGAGTTATAAAAATGAAGTTAATTCGTCATATTCTTCTTTAAAAACTTTGGTTTTTAATTCAGTTCATCTAATTTCTTTAACTCAAATTAAGCCCGTTTTATAACATCATACCTATAAATATTTAAAAGTTCATATTGATAAAAAAATATTTAAATTTAAGGAATCGGTGATAGATTGGGTGCGTGATCATCGTATGCACCATAAGTATTCCGAAACAAACGCCGACCCATATAACGCGAAACGAGGATTTTTCTTCTCTCATATAGGGTGGCTGATGATGAAGAAACACCCAGACATCAAAGCTAAAGGTCACACTGTCGACATGAGTGATATCTTAAATAATCCTATTCTACGTTTTCAGAAGAGGTAAATATGTATATTGCAAATGATTGACTTCTGATCTTACTTTCATTCTATAGCACTTACTCAGTTCTTAGTACTAAGCTCTGAATGCGAGCACTAGGGAGATTTAGATAGGCCAAGAAGAACAATGAACATTTAAGTGACTGAAAAGTCGGATATAAATTTCAACTCCATGATTACATTGCCTAAAAAAGCGTGTGCGTTTACTTAAAATTTGCGTATTTTTTAATATGCAGTTATGGATAATTTTTCAATTTAAAAGATGTCCTTTCTTTTTTCTGACATTGAAATTGGATTTATTGTGATTTTTTGTATAATGAATAATATAATCGACTTTAAAAACTTTTAATAAGCGTAATAAAATATAATAGTGTATAATTTTTTAATTTGAGAGTTGTGAGTAGCTTGCTACCTACTTAATACATGTAAATATATCTACAAAGTAAAAAGATAATCTAATTTTTTTCAGATACTATGCAATTCTGGCACCATTAGCCTGTTTTGTTCTTCCAACGTATATTGCAACATTGTGGGGTGAATCTTTATGGAATGCGTTTTTTGTATGCGCGGTGTTCCGATACATTTATACACTGAACGGAACCTGGCTTGTGAATTCTGCTGCACATATGTGGGGTAACAAGCCTTACAATAAACACATCAATCCTGTCGAAAATTATTTCGTGTCGTTTATAGCTCTTGGAGAAGGATTCCACAACTATCATCATTCTTTCCCTTGGGACTACAAAACAGCGGAACTCGGTACATATAGTTTGAATTCAACAAAGTTGTTCATTGATGTCATGGCTCTATTAGGAATGGCGTATGATTTAAAGACTGTTAGTAATGACATAATACAAAAGCGTATTCTAAGAACCGGTGACGGAAGTCATAATAGTTCGGTTACTTCATAATGCTTTATAATGCTGTGTTTTTATTTTTATTTTATTTTTTGTCAGAGGGGGCAGACGAGCAGATGGTCATCTGCCTCGGTGGCGCAGTGGTAGCGTGTGCGACTGCAGTTTTGAGGTCGATCCCCGGGTTAGAATAGTTAGCTTTAGCAAAGCCAAGACAGTTAATTTTAATTTTAGTCATCTAAGTGTATCTTATTTATTTAATATTCTTAATAATAAAAGCTTACAAAAATAAATATTTAAGGTCTTATTATTAGCGACTCACGCTATTTACCAAGCCTACATATTATGAGGGTGTTAAGTGCTACTTTAAGTGCTTCTGAGCGTCCGAACGTCCGACTATAGTTATGAAGAGGAGTAATGACCTTAAGAATACATTACCTGCTGTCACTAGTGATGTCATGGGCAATACAAATGTTTTATAAGTTACGGAAAAGAACGAAAGGTTGTTAAATTACAATGAATAACAGTCTCCATTCATCAAAGAAATTATACGAAATGTATACTAGCAACAAATATTTTATACTATATTATATCGGTAGGTTGACAGCTAATACCAACATGTCATAAGATGGTAACTATTACATTTTACTACAAAAACGAATGTTGCGTTTGACAAGCATAGGCCCGTGAATTGGGTTGCTCAAAATTAACTTGTAAATCGCACAAGCAGAGCAATTGTGCAATAAATACAGACCTCGGTCTAAGTTATAAATTACCCATAAACATTTGGATAATTTCATAGCTGTGATGGGGAGCTGTGATGTTTTAAGCTAAGTAAATTTGAATTTACTCACCGTAAAACATCATTTTTTTAAATTATAGTTGTAAGGTTAACAAAATTCATCTTGTTATTTATTAGGCAGATAGATTTACTTGATTATTCTTTTAGCTGTTTTTTTACTGATACATATCTCTTTATCCTTCTTCATCTCGGATAATATGATATTATTATTGCATTATTTCTCGCTTCCACGCTATGAAGATTTAATGAAGGCTACATGAGAATACTTAATTTATGGTTAATGACGACTTTAATAAATATTAGATAATAGACATTCTATAAATCGTAGCTGTACTCTATCCATTTGATGAGGAACGTGTGTTATGTCCCTCCATCAAAAAGGGAGGATCCTCCGACCAGGCGAGATGATCATGCCTGGCAGGCCGCGGCCCAGCAGTTGATGTTGGGATGTTGTATTTATGCTAATCGGCGAGAGAATTCTTCATATCGCAATACAGGTTTAGCAATTTTCATTCAGGAGTTACTCCGCAGTTCGGTGTCTTCGTTAGACGGCTCTGTAGTTTGTTTCTGTGTCCTTGTATGTGGGAGTCCCCTCCAAGACCGGAGGTCGATATCTAGATAAGTCAGCTGTCTATGCTCTGTTGCGATTTTATTTACGATACTTAATTAATCGAAAAAAATAAGTAAAAATAAATTGTAGCTAAAAGAGAATTTCTTTAAGAATTAAACATTTATTTTTAGTAGTCTAAAGACTTTGTTAAAGTCACAGGAAACATTCTTACGCTTAGCTTGAACAATTGATTTTGGTTTCTTTTTTGAAAATATGTGTTTTTTCGTTTCATTACTCATCCTCTTTTACACTGAAACGCACGTTGAAGTACACTTGGCAGCGCTCACAAAAGTTAATCAGAGTTGTGTAGGTTAGTGAGATCCCTTTCCTAACTAAAAAAATGAGCTGATGATCTTCACAAATTATGGCTACGAACCATCTTGATTACGTCAATTCTAAAATAAATAAAAAAACCGCTTCATAATGGTTGCATTCATTAAAGATCTACGACGCCATAGACTGACACACAGACCACTTATAACAAGAGGTATGTTTTTACGTCAAAGATTACACACTTAAATGTTTTTATCGTAATAGTAGTCTAACGAGTGGTATAAATATAGGCACGTCTTCGCCGGTACGACCATTCAGTTTGATAGAAGAGTGACCGAGCGACTTCGGCGATTATTTTAGACTTTTATTAAATAGTGAATGGATTTATTGAAGCGTATTACTAATAAAGTCTCTTAAGTCGTCAAAAGGCATTTCACTCCAAATCAACGATACCTAAATCGTAACAATAAAAAAATAAACGTGCGTCCCGGGACACCCCACAGAAGTGATAACTTAAACTAATCTAAGTTTAACTATTTAATATTGAAATTGTTAAACTTGAGAAAAGCTTAAGTTATTACTTAAATTTTATGTATATTAATATGATAATGTAAGGAAAGGTTATTTATTAATATATATTATTATATTTTGTGTATGTACATTACTAGTATCATTATTTAATCCTTTATAAGGAACAATTGGCTTATGGTAGCTATAATAAGCAAAAGGGAGGAGGAGCCCGCCTACCGCTGCCGTATGCGTGAAAGAAAGGGAAGCCAGACAGACTGGCGCCGTAACGAGTTACGTAACGAAACGATTTACCCTCTCATAAGAAGTTATTACTTCAAAAACATGAAATAAAATTTTAATCTTAATACATTAATTTGATTTGCATAACAAGAATGGGATAATCTAGGTAGTAATGTCTAGTAAAAGTGTTATTCTTTGTCAGAGATACAGAAAATACCTCAAGGTGGGCGGGTACTTCCTTCTGTTACTTTTGAACTGGTTAAGATTAGACTTATAAATCTATGACGTACACGAAAAGGCCTTAAAAATATAACTTCAAACTACTTTACTACGTTACTTTCTGTATTACTCAAATTAACGCCAGCTTTGCAAATGCAAATTTGCAAATGAAAGTAAGAGCAATTTCGTAGTAATGCTGAAAACGTTTTTACAAAATCCTAGGTTTGTGTTTAATGAAACCACACCAAGGTTATTGGCGAAATTGGACTGAGGCTTACATATTGGAATAAGATTTTTCTTGTCATGCTACACAATTTTATATTCAGATGATTTTTATCATAATGATGATAGGATTCAGTTTTAAAAGAACAGGGATCTAGTCTGTGCGTTATTAATTTAATAAGACCACCATTTGAAGTAAATGAGATTAAAGAAGCAGTGTCAGATTATTGGTGCTTGAGATAAGGGGACATTTGATATGAATAATTATTTTTCTAAAGCTAAAACTTATTTGAGAAAATATTAATCAAAAGTTTCTCTATATCAGCAGCAAATTAACTGGTTTGAAGTTATCAAAATTTATTATAAATATGCGTTTGGGTTTATCGCAAAATAAAAAAGGGATATTCTTGACTCGGTTATTCGTACTCGTATATAGCCTCACTAACAATTACAAGCTATGAACATCGATCGATGGAATTACTGATGTTGAGCATAATTTTTACGTGTAAGTTGCTGATAAAGCTAACATTTCCGACAAGCAAGGGATAATCTGGATCAAAAGAAGTATCTACGAGTATATATATTTATATCTATGAAGAATGTTTAGGACTTCTCATTCAATGAAAGCAAAAACAGAACTATAAAGTTTTTTTTTTTGAAAATTTCATAGATTTTTGCCATTTTGTTTGAATTACGTTTAAAGAACAACAAATGTTTTACAAGAAACACGTCAATGTGTTGCAAATGTCTTTTTCAATTTTGGTGGCCTAGTTATATTTTCAATGGCTAAGGTAGGCAATGGTGTGTACAGGGGGCAGGGATTGGTGATTCAGGAGCAAGCAAAATGCATCATGCAAGATTTACAGGATCAGTGCGTATTTCATAACATTTTACCTTAAATAACTAGTCAAAGTAAAAAGTGGATGGACGAATCTAAAAATAGAACACTTTCAATGTTTTTAAAAGTTTTTTTTGATGGTGGGATATGTACAAATTTTTAGATGAAGCCCTCATAATTATGTGTGATATGATATACGTAATATGTTGCAATTGCATTCTTATGAATCACAAGGAAAACAATGATATTTAACTTTATAAACCGGCACCGGTTGGTTGAAGTCACAAAGCGAACTATTCTCTCTTAGATAGGACGCCTGTTCGATCCTCTTGGATTTGTAGCTCCATGTGTGTTCTATGCCAAGTGTTTCACGCAGAAACTTTGGGCTCAACAACTACATTAGGACCAACGTTTGCCTGCGCACCTTGAAACACAGTAACGGCTTGCATTCGTGCGAGAACGATCTCTTCTACTACTGAAGCATGAACGGCATGTTATGGTCAAGCAAAATACCTTCTGTCAGATTATAGGATTTATTAATGCATCAACCCTCGGGTAGATGTAGTATACTTGCACTCAAAAAAATCTGACTCCCGCAGACAGTAACTTCGGAGGACTGCATGAAGCCGCAATTAAATCTGCGAAGACGCACTTGAGGAGTCCTCATCCCGGCACATTGTGTGAGTACGATCTCACCAGTACTCTAACTGGAAAACTGGGCCGCTGGCAAGTAGTGCATCAAATGTCGCAACAATTCTGGCATCTGTGGTGAAAAGAATTCTGCACACACTTCACACTTCTTCAGCGTTAAAAATAGTTCGATGGTTGTCGAGATTCGCAAATTGGAGATTTAGTACTCATTAACGCCGATACACCTCCACTTTAATGGACATTAGGCAGGGTTATTAAATTGCACCCTGGTCCGGACGGTGCGGTGTGCGTGGTCAGTGTTTGCACCAAAAAAAGTGAACTTACTAAACCTGTAAATAAACTTAGTTCTCTTCCCTTAGAGTATGAGTTTTAGGAAGAGTTTTCTAAGTTATTAATTATAATTATATAAACTTGGTTTTAAATTATTACTTCTCTAAAATACACTAATCTGATCTAACAATTTGATTTACACTTTGTTAAAACTTTCCTTGGTTGTATATAACTAGACAATCCTTGCGGATTTCGGTAGGGGGAATGTAGGGTTTTGGGTCATTTCAATCCGCCAACCACCGCATATGCGCGCTGAGCTTCCGCAAAAAACAACAGCGCGCTCTTGCTACGCGCTGCCAACAGTAAGATCCTCAAATCATTGGTGGGACAATCAAGACCACTCAGGAGCAGAGCTGGTCGAGGAAGCGGCCCAAATACAGTTTTTTATGGGTTTCTTGTAATAATTTCATATCCCTGAGCTATCAGACACAACACGGAGAGTTACCACCACTATTCATCCCGTGGGTGTCGCAGGGCCAACTAACAAACTATGTAAAACAACAGCACTGCAGAGAGAAGGAAAACTTGAAACAAATCCTATACAAACCCGTCTTCCCGGTGTGCTAACTATAGTGGGCCAAAACCATCTTTCTAAGGAGAGACGTATGCCCTGCAGTGGCTACTGAGGGCACTGCAGGACACTGCAGGGCACTGCTGTTGATGATGATGATATGGTTATAATAATGTAAGCTCATTGAAGTCATTAATACTTTTTTTAAAGTTAGTCATTCTAAACTAGAACATAACTAAGTACTACTGCAGAGTAGCATAATCCAAGAATGAAAAAACGTTATTGTTAAGTCAAGCATTATTGTTTTAACACACACAGATATAGTCAATGTCAGATTAAGAAATTATGCACCAGTTACCTTCATTGCCCTTCAAACTATAAGAAAAGCTGTTAGAATAAGTTGGCGACGATAATACGAACCATTTGCGTAGGAAATGTAGCAATAGGTTTGAGAGCAGCCACAGACAATAGTAGTTAATTGAGCACAAGGGGGCTTTAGCTTTAGAAAACCGTTCCAATTTAGTAGCGCAAAACCGCTTAGGACAAAGAAAAAATATTAGAGGTGGATGGGTAGTATATATTGCACAAATTTATTATTAAACAATGTATAGGTATGCTCGATGTTGTGCAGAAATAATTCCAACTTAAAAAAAAAAAACGAAAGCAATGTATTATGTATAAACATACAGAATAATTATGATGATGGCGATGAAGATAATGATGATGCAAAACATAATTTTAAAGATACTTCTATGGAGAGTATTGAACCCCTTGTCTTTCTGTAATATTTTCGTTTATAGCAAATAATTTAAAAGAAGAAAAAGATTGATTTGAATTGGATTGAACAATTGAATTGGTTGATTCAATTATAATTTAACTTTTTAACATACTCTGAGGTCACATTGCTACTTTCAATTAAACTTTGTGCCGCCTTCCGTATCTCATGGTATGAATTATTCTTGTATTTATTTGACTGGTAGTATCATCGACAATTACAATTTTTTATTACCAGATTTTTTAAACTTTGTCCTGAAAAGTTATTTCAGTTGGTAGCTTATCTATAGGCTGTAATGAAATCGATAGCAGCTGACAGCTGGCTGTCACAAACGAGTGGTCATTGTTGACAATAAGTTAACGTGCGAGTAGGTACCTTAATATTGAAATCATTCGGTTACGATTATCTTGAGTCAATAAAAGGTTTCCTCGTCAAATTACTTTTTGACATGATGTTCGCGATTAATCTAAGCGATTTGAACCAAATATATTAGTCTATTTCCTTAAATTAATTGATTTAAAATAATAAATTATTATGTAATTTATATTTTATGCATGTCGAGTTTAGAAAACGTAGAAAAACCTTTTGTTGACAACACTTGGACATTTAGTTTTTGCAGTTGTAACCATTTTTGAGAAGAATATTGTATACTTTTAGCAAAGTTCTAAAGATATGATAATTACATGTAAATAGGATGACTCACTTTATAAACGGCACAAATCTGAAAATCATCCATCATTATATTGCTAGGTGTACAGGATCTGCCGTTCTTCTCTATTTTATAATAACGGCGAAAACATATATTTATCTGTATCTTTCTGTATTATCGTCCATCTAATCTAAGAGGTATCATTTGATAATTCTGACAGATTGATGAATAGGCAGGGGATCAAAGAAATCGAATATAACAATTTTTTCGTTCATCAATCAATTTTAATTCGATTACAGTTTTATAGATTTATTTATGTTTCTTTAACAGCCCATATATTATTATTTCATAGGTTTATAATTTATATATTTTTTTGTGTAAGCAAATGTAAGAGAGATAATTTTTCGGGCTTTCCAGTTCTAACCTAGTTGTCTAAATAAATATTTGTGTTTAATTTGTTTTAACGTGATTTTTGCCTACAAAGATTTATTTAAAATTACATTAATTTACACATTTTTAATTTTTAACCGATATCAAAAAAAGGAGGAGGTTCTCAATTTGACTGTATTTATTAAATCAAAATATTTTTGCAAACTTACATAGAGCCAACAATAATGACAATAAATAATATTAGAAATTATACCTATATTTTTTTAAATATCATCAACTTTCTGTTGGCTTATAGGCCTGATATTGCATTACTCTTTTGCACAAAAATGATTAATTATGTAATCTTGAACATAGTTTTTTTTTTAACAACTTCTTTGTTTTGAGATGTTGGTTTTATCACACGCACCAGTGGAGTCAGCCCAATGGAAATACGCGACACTATGCTGTATATAGAGTATGTTCTACTTTAAATAAAAAACAAAAATCGTTGACAGAGTAAATCAACTAAATGTTGAAATTTTAAATTCAATTTTAATTAAATAACGGAATTATTTAATTTTATAGGCACTTTTACCACATTCTTAAGCTCAGTATAACACTGGCAGCCAGGCGGCGTGTTGATGAAACTCTGTTGGTTAGTAATAACTTTTTAACGTTGATTGTTGTGTTTTACTGTAGATAAAAGTTATACTTTATATTGTAGTTACATACTATTGGTACTATATATTTTATGAAAATCTCGGTAATTCTTTCAGATTCTGAATACTTATTACTTACTAAACTAGGCTCATATCGTCACGATTAAGATATTAGTATAGGCTGAATTATTTTGCTACCTACAAAAATTATAAACAGATTCCATTTTGTATATGCTTTTTGTGCATTCCATAGCATTAACTTCTTCATTAAAAAAAAATTACGTTCAACTTTAGTTTCAATACTCATTAAAGGAAAAGTCTGGAGTCGGAAGAAACTACGTATTTGCCTGATATTACTTTTTTAGTGGGATCATCCCTTCCAGATCGATATAACATGTTGCACCATTAGGCTGCAACCCATTGCTTTTCGTAGAATATTATTTGAATTTACTTTACTAAACTATATTTTGTACTTAGGCGTCATCGGCCTTTGGTTGGCGAAGCGCCAACCTTCTGAAAACTTTTTTATGTAGTTTTAATAAATTCTATCAGCGCATTTGCTGTTGTTGTAAAAAACCGTAAAATTTTCTTGCCCCCATATACAAATTGTAAATAAGCTAAATTGTAGATGGACAAAGCATAAAAGTAACATCAGATCTCTAACTGTTGATTATATCACATACGCGGTTAAATTAGCATCTAATTATAATATCTGTTATATTTAGCTACAGTTCCCTGCAATAGCAATAAATTATTTGTCAGTGTCATATGACTTTAAATGTAAATATTTTATGTTTAGTTTGATAATATTATTAGTAAATTATAACAATCGTGAAATATAAATATTTAAATGGATATTAACGCTATCAATAGGTCTTACATAACTTTGAATTTCCTGTCCTTTTGACCAAGATGCACTGGCTGTATTTACCAGCTGATGTAAAAGCTGGAACTAACATGAAAATAGTGACAAATCAATTTTTATTTCTCATTTATGTATATATCTCAGGCAATCCTACATCGACTGCCCGGATGGAGTAGTTGTTTAAGCGGTCACCTCGCCGCTTCCTACTGCGCTGAGTGTTGTGGTGTGGGTCCAATCCCCACACGGGATATCACTTTGTGTTATCTATCCATAATATCGTGAAATATCAAAAACTATTCATGATCTTGATAGCAACACTAGCACTGGCTAGATGGTATAAGTACCAAAGTGATTAAGTCTCTAAAAAACATAATTGCTGAGAGATTACCTGCATAAATATGTGTTTATCACGCGGTGTCTTTCCCCATACGCTCTAAGTTGCTAGGGTCAGTTCTAAATTCAAATCCGGAAGTAGAACTGACCCAAGTTACTACAGGCCGGTATCGGTGTTGCCGGTGATATCAAGATATATGAACGGGTTTTATATACACGCCTAGGTAACTATTTAACTCAAAAATAGTTTTTAATTGACCAAGAGTATGGCTTTCGTTCAAATTCTAGTACTCTCACTGCCACAGTAGATTAAACAAGACAACTTCACTAGTTCGACTTAAAATGTGACATATGGCTGTTCTCAAGGCTCAATTATCAGCTCATTACTGTTCTTAATTTACATGAACAATATGGATATAATAGGTCTAACAGGACTTTTTTTTTTTTTCCGTGCGGTAATCCCCTCGGATACCACCTATCGGTGGCATGTCGGACTCGAACCGACTAAAACCGCACGCCGTCTCGGGTACTAATAGCCGGGGAACCAGGTATACCCTAGAAAGGAAGTCCCTGGTGCCCCGACATACCTCGGGCCATTTACAACAACAGGTAGACGACCCCCCCCCATGTTCCCTCTGCTCGCCGCCGTTCCCGGGCCTGGCGGGCCGGAAGAGTCCTAAACCTCTCCCGGTCCCGCTCCGCCGTTTCCTTCGCGAGCATAACTTGCTCGCAGAAGGAGACGGCAGAGTTCCACGCACTCTCGCTCCGCACGATAGCCGCAATCAGGCTATCGAGCGAGAGAACTCCCACTCCGATGGCCGCCACGAGGTCTCGCCTCTGCTCAACATACGCCGGGCACTCTGCCAGCGTGTGGAGAGCCGTGTCCACGGTCTGGCCATTGCAGTGGTGGCACTCAGGCGTTGGCTCCTTGCGGATCAGACACAGGTGATCCCCGAAACATCCTTTCCCAGTGATCACCTGCGTCAGTCGGTATGAGAGGGTCCCGTGACGCCTCTCGAGCCAATCCTCCATTACGGGTCTTACCGCCGCGATAACGGCGTGCCCGCCTAACAGGACACCTAATATTTTATGCGGACGACACATGTCTATTTTATTTTGGTAAATCTATCCAGAATATCATAGCTGACGCTAAAATGACCTCAATATTCTTAACGGACGGCTAAAATGTAATCTTCTTACGATAAACACATCAAAAAGATCATTTATGATTTTCGCGGCA